CACAAGAATTGGAGGATGCCAGATATTTAACGTATTTTATTAATAAAATTTTGTTTTAAATTAAATATCTGGTATTACTGATCTCACTTCTATTCGACTTGTATCAATCACCGGCTGTGCCACAGACGTAAGCCGACGGTTTCCTCGTACTTCCTAGTGCTAAGCCCCTTGTTTCTACTGTTTCAAACCAGTCTTGTCATTGGATCGTCCCACAATATTGGTGGACGACCGAATGGTCGATATGTCTATGCTTACGGGTGCAATTAATAACTCTAGATGTCCACTTGTTGTCGTTCAAATAAACCAATGGCCAGCTCATTGTCTTTTCGAGTTGTTTGTGCATCAAAATATATGTCCGACAGCGAAGAATCGCATTTTGAACATCTTCTCGAAGGAAGTCCTAACACATTTTTCTTTTCATAACCCTTCGCTTCTTTATTAATTTCCTTTCTTGACCACTGGTGGCAGATCAGCATTTCGCATCATAAATCATTGAATATAGAACCGCAGAATCAGGCGGTTCTTTCCTAGTGGACATGGACAGTTCTGTGTCCTGCATCGATGTTTTAACGTGATTGAAATTTGTCCATGCTGACCTCCTTCTGTATATCTCGTCGCTGATGCTTTTTATCGTAGTTTATTAGGTGGTCGAGGAGTACGTGGCTGGCAGATTTTCCACATCGTCGTTAACGCAGATGGCACTCACAGGACAGCGTTCGTTGATCACCCATTTTGTCTTGGATGTGTTAATGCCCAAACCGATATTACGTCACTCCCTCTGCCACTAAACAATCTTTATTTGGAGTTCTACCGGTTCTTTGGCAAAGATGATGAAGTGTCTGCAAAAATCAAAAAAAAAACAAAAAACCCCTACCCGTACCCTGTCAATGTTAACGCCGCCGGCACAGCTCAGATCATTAAAGAAGGAATACAAGCAGCTTCAGGAAAAGCCTGGAGAGACGGTCTATGAAGACTGGGTGCAGCCGTGCGAGCGTGGGCCATTTACGCCCCATTTAATAGTTGTTTTCAACGTTCAGTCCTGCAGCGCGAATTCGAATCTATATTGCAACGGTCAGTGACGACCGGCTGTAACAAAGCGGAGGCAATTGGACGCGGCCCCCGCCCCACACGCCACCTGAGGCGTGAGGCTAACAAAAGGGCGAACGCTAGCCTCCCCGTCGACAGAACAAACGAGAGGCAGCTCGCCCTCAGCGCGTCGCAAGACTCGTTTACAATTTTCATGGGTGATTCCATACTGTCTTCAGCACGCCTTTTGACCTTCGTCACAAGTTCGACCATTTCCAAACCTGCCGTCGAACTTTCATAAGGATGTTCACCAGTTTTCATGACAGCAGCTGGACCTGCAGTATGTATCCTTGCTTTGCATCGACCCTTCTGTTCATAGTGCCAAATTTCTTTGTTCCGTTAGCACTATTCCTGTCAAACACGTAGCAAAAGCCCTCTGATGTAAACCTCTCGGGGGTCTCGTTTTGAAAGAGACACTGCGAACATCTTCGATACACTCAAGGATTCATTGTTTCCGTACGCCTGTACAGTTCATGTGTTTAATATAAACAGCAATGGAAACCTGATGGTGCAAGTGATCGGTCCAAGTGGAATCATTTTACATTGGCTACAGCATTACTGCGCTCAGAATTAATGACCTTGCGTGGCTATAACAGGGAAACATGAAGTGAAATAAAAAATATTGAAAATTCATGAATTTGACAGTGCGTTCATATTGTGCTCGTAGTATGCTTTCATTAAGATGTAACATGATAATATAAATCGCAAAGATTATAGAGTTAGGCGAAAAGAAATTGCGCAGAGCTGATGAGCTCTAGCCATCTTAAAACAGTGATTGTCCAAATTCATTAATTTGACAAGCGTTTAGTATTTTACTCACCTAGAGCTATCCATTAATATACAAATGACGAACATCTGCTGATTGACAGTCAAACTCACAACCAAAATCTTAAGAATTCAGTAGCTTGATAGAAGTTTCGCAGTGTGCTCACTGAGAACTTCTCATGGATATGAAATATTGTTAGTTGAATATGTCAGTTGATCGAGAAGACCACAGTCCAACCATACAGATTCATATTCGTGCCACAGGATTGCTCTTTGACAACGAGTATTGGGTGGTGCCGACACAGTTTATGCCCAGATGGCCCTGACCAAACCGGCCCATTCCATAAAAGAGATGCTGCCCCTTTAGCGAAGTCTCTTTTAATTTTGGTTCGACACGATTTCTCGAACAACGAGGTAGGTTGCCCTGTTAGTATTCGGTTTTTTGATCAGGCCGATGTAGGAGAGCTGATGTCACAGTCGTGCAAAGCGTTCAGTACATCGTTTAGCTAAATAAAATCGAACGCTTTTCTTATGTCTATGAATGCGTAGCTGAGGGAGAACTGACATTCCTTCGACCTCTTTCTTAACTGCTTCGTAATGTGAAGTTGGTCCATGATAGAGAACCCTTTCGGATACGTTTGAAGCTGATATCAGTAGAGACTATTTGGACTTCTGACATGCTCGATAGCTCTGGAGGTCTTCAACATCGCTTTTCTTGAATGGAAAAACTAACAGCTGCTCGGTGTTCATGGCATTTTCTTCGGCCTGAGGTACTCTCTAAATCGTTCGGAAAGCATTTTGAACAAAGTCGTTACTTCCGAATTAACATGTCCCGTCTTTATGCCCTCTTTGCAAGGACATTTGGAATTCTTCGTATTCCTTAATGTCCACTCTGCTTCGTTCCAGTTGGTCTGAGGAACGGTTTCCAGGGCAACGTGCAAAAGTTTTGGCTAAACTCCTGGTCGAGGAGTAGAGGTTGTTGAGAACCTCGTTTCCATACGATAGCAAACTGTGGTTTTCTCTTCTCTTAAGCCGTTTAGTGCTACCGAAATCCGTTTATTAGAAGGATGCCTTTTTCTCCGCTTTCAGATCATTCATCATTAATGTGGTGTCTCCTAGCTTCGTGTTTCAGTACTGATCGTTATTCTCATTAAAACCTATTTTCGCAATGCTTAGAGTGCACTCATAGTGTAGTTGCCCATCAGCCACCATTCTGATCAACGGCTGCCTCGTTACAGGGCTGGTGCGTTTTTCCTCATCAACATTTCTGCCCGGCTGTATGACGGAATGGCAGTACCGACAAGGTACCGGTGGTCTGCATCGATGCGTCTGTTGCGACGTTCAGTTGGGAAAGCTTCCGAATCGAATATGCAATCATTGAGCCGTCTGGGCCTCACCTTCTCCCCCGCCTCCCAGAGACGACCATCTACAGCGTATCTTGCTGATTCACCATTCAGAAAGATTGATGACAATAAGTAATCAATCGCGCAGTGCAAAATTGTCGCCGTTGTTCGAGGGTCAATTTCGCAGTCATTCTCTGGTAGCTATACTTTAGACTGTAATGATTAACTGCGTAAAAACACACTAGTTGTCATTCTGCTGGTGAGAATTCACACGCAAATTTTTTGGGTGAATAAAATCCCCAATATCGACTATGGAAATTCCGGAAAAGGGCGCGAAAGCATATCAAAATCGTATTTAGTCAAGTTTTCTTCACATAGCAGCAGCAAGTTTTCTATACCATAGCAAAGCCCACTTTTAACACGCATGCACAAAATCTCATTACGATACTTGTCATCGTAACTCATAAACTGTATTGGATAGGGTGTTAGAAACGGCATAAGTTACTTTGTCCGGAATAAAATGCACAAATGCAGACTGTCACTGACCCGGTCCTATTAGATATCAGTTAGCGAGTTTTAAATTTTATTAGATACCACTTCACTTGACAGCTGCTATCGGTTAAAATCTTTATATGCTACTTTAGAATACTAAAGTACAGGATTTTAATACCGAACAGTGGTACTACCCCTATGGTAAGTAGGATCGGCGTTGATTAATCCGACAAATTATCACCTTGTTTTTAGTAAAATCTCTCGTTGTTTATTTGCTACTTCAATAGTATGTTTGAACTTTCTTAGAAAACACCTTTTACATCCGTAGCAAGGACCTACAGAGCAATCAAGATGTGTAACGGAACCATGTGAACTTTGCGCAATGACACATATACCGTCCTTCACGAATTTTTGCGTTTCAACAAACTAAGAACCCTTTAGAAATCTGGGAACCGTATCAAGTGCAAGCTCAGCACAATTTACTTTGGAGTAAAATATCGATGATCTCCCCAGGTGATATATCGATTATTCAAGAAGAGTTGAAATGTAAATCTCGTCCTGTCGAATAAAAGGTAATCGATCTTCCGAAATTAACGTTGTCTCACCTTGGGAGACCTTTGAAGAAGCAATTGGCAGTTTTATGTAAGGCAAGATAACAGCTGACGTATATGGCAACTATCTTCTTCTGTGGTCAGCCGAGGCAGATCAGTAGCAAATTTGAACGTCCAGATTTTTAAACTAACGAATGGCCGCAACGGTAGCATCCTGTACATCAATTATGCTGCCGTCAAACTTCTATAGGTGAGATTTAGAAAGAAGGTGCTGCATTGTCTGACCTTCATGGCCGCCGTCACACTGGT